TCGTATTACTCGTTTTCTACCACTTTTTGTCGCATGCGCGCTTCAACAAGAAGGCAGAGAACGGCTTTGACGGCGTGACACTCATACTGCCTGACACGCCCAACCGTCCGCAGCGAACTGGAGTATAAGTACCTCGCTCTGCAAGCGAGAACATCTGCGCCGCTTCTCGTCAGAGCAACTTCCGTTTATCTCCTATGACTGCTTCTATCGGAACTCCTCTATGCGTTCAAATTAGCGCGTGCAGCTCGCTTTGTAGGCAGTACTAGTACTGGACCTGGTAGCTCAGTAAGGAACGTTGCAGCATTACTGAATCATCTTCATTAACAACGTCATTTTTCTGCAGTGGTAGCTCCAAAACTTCTGGCTAAGTTCATTAAAGGTTGTAAAATTGCGACTCATAATAGCCTTGCTCTTTGTCCGTAGAAAAAGTGGACTTTTTCCAGCAACAACTAATTGAGTCCTCCTACTTCACTCATCCGACTTATGGCCCTTTTCTCTTTCGGTTATGGAGCGGACTGGGACTTTTGCAATGATAAGTGGAGAACTATCTACGCTTCAAGGACTACTTCTTGAATTTGGCCAGAACTTCGATCTCAGGAATGGCTTGATACCCAAACTGAACGATTTAGATAACAGATTTGATTCCATGACCGGCTTTCATTTCATCTCGACTGAAAACACAGGGTAGAAGACCTTAGGGCTGTTAAGCCGTGAAACCGCTACCCTTTTTCGTATTTAAACTCTACCTAGCACATTTACCCTTGACTGTACGATCGATACATCGTGTACATCATACGGTCTTAAAGACAGCCCCCGCGCTCAAGTAATTCATGGTCGTCCTTCCTTGTGCAAGTAGTCCAGCCCCAAGCTAAGAGACTGTCCCACTCTCGCGACTCCACAGCGAGCGAGGAGCGTGCTACAGCCGCTGAAAGTTCTAGTTCTAACGCCCGCTCAGTTGGACCGCCCACTTGCTAGATGCCCTCTGACGGAGGGCCGCTCAGTTGTTCTTTGTTGGGGCGGCGGGCATTAATCGGAATTGCATGTCCTTTTTGCTGACCGCGCTCGTGCCCATAAATAATTCTGCTCTCCTTTATTACATTTTATTCATTAGGAGCACATACAGTCAACTGCAACCCATCTCGCAAGGTAAAACGCGTAAAAATCACGAGTGATGCAATTTTCTTGGTGCAAAAGCTCGACGCACTAAAAGATGCACGCTACCGTAACCCTAATTCGTACGCCGAGTTTTTGAAAGTTTTTTTGTTAAGAGTTTTCCGTCGGTGTTTTTGTTGTTTTTCGTATTCTTTTCTTTGCACTGGATGATATCTACTACTGGGAGATGCGAAAAAGCGATTGTGAGCTAGGGGTTGCAGTCACCACAGGGCGGTGCGACTACCGGGGAGCGAATTGGTTTGTGGTGTTCTTTAACACTCTTCTTCTTCTTTGGGGAACTACTTATCAGCTACTGTTTCATAAGTGAATAGCAACTATCCATGACACTTTATAGCGGTGAACTGTCTCTAAGCTTGGACTGCAAGGTAGAGTGGGGAAAAAAAGATGCTTCCACCGTTGATCGGTCTTTTTTGAGATATAACACTATACTACTTACGTTTGAAGCCATATTGACATTTCAAAAGCCGTTTAAATCAATAGACTTGTGTGGAATCAGCTGAGCCGATGTAGAAGTAAGTGGGATTACACTTCCAGTCAAGTCCGGAATCAAGTTACCGGCTCCGGAGGAACGGAAGGCTCGATTGTCCCAGCCGGGAGTTGAACAAGGATCTGACTAAGGACGGAGTGTGCAGCAAGCAGGCTACTTGCTACTACCCCACTGCAGCTAGAGAAAGTTCTTTTAAGCGCAAATTACTGTAAGCAGTGCCATCTGTCATCGTTCAAATACTCTACATCTCTTCTTCATATACTGTTGGGTGTACACCAACAGTCACCACTCGTCGATATGCGAAGAAAACATTCTCAAGCCAAATCCATAAAAAACCAAAAAAAAAACTCTTCCACGTCTGAATAGTACAGCGCAGTCGAACTTACTATGAAGGCTGAAAACACTGAGGAAAAGCCTACCTTGAAAACGAAGCTGCGGCTAATTCCCTGCACGTTGAGCTCATGCAACTGTACCATCCTGCCATAGGTAATAATTCCAACCATAGCGTCTGCAGGAAGAAGCGAGAGAGCTGTCTAAACATTTAAAAGGGCCTTACAAAGAATAACAGCCAAACGAGCAACCAAGACAAGGAAGGAAGAGAAAAATAAGTGGGTAACGATGAATACAGATCGCTCACACCGTGTTTAATCAAGTAAAGGGCATATATCGCAACTAGTCTATTTTCTTTTATTGCGCCGATATCCTGCCTGAATTTCCCGACAGGACGCCGGAGTCGCCTGAGAAGATAAAGTATTTTGTGGAGTGGAGCGTAATTCAGAACTTTCGAACCATATTTCGGATCTAGAATCTCCTAAAATCGACTGCGAATTTCCTCCCAAACTGATCCAAACGTGCCAACCCGCCCGCAAACGGGCTGAGGACAGTAACATTTTTGAATTAAGCCCAGCAACAGGATATAAGCGTGACTTTATCGCTATCAGTCAATTTATTAGGTTGGTGCATAAGTTCTTTCCCCCTGTTTTGATCCTTCCGTATTTCGTTTGCATGGATGTTGGTATTTCGTCATCACGTGTGCGTGACGTGTACATACTCTCTTTCATCACACTAGCTATCACTCGCCCATCCTGCATTTGCAGGCTATAATGCCGCACAATTACCAGTGCAAAACCATGTCACAGTGGTGATTGTGCGGCATTGTGGCCTTCTTCGGGTCCCAGCCCCCGTCCTTCTGGAACGATGGAATCGACAAGCTGCCTGAGCGTTGGCGTCGAGTAGTGGATGGTGATGGTGCATACCTCTAATCTTCAGGCTGGTTCGCTATTGAGATATTTACAAAAAAGTCGGGGGAAAGAACTTATGCACCAACCTAATACTTAGTCATCGAAAGGCCCTCTTCGAAGAGGTCATCCTGAAGATTTGCACCCTCGAAGGCTGCAAGAACAGCTAGAAAGCAAATGGAAAGTGGCAACCCGATTCACTTGTTCCCAACAGAATATTATTGTGCTCATCTGGTGAAGAATTGACTCAATACTCGTACCTGCAAGCTCTCCTTCAACGCTTTCAGCTCATCTGAAGTCATGCACGTATCCACAACAAACATGAAAATCGGTGGCATAGTTGTTGCTTTCTGAAGAAGGAAAGGCTCGGAAATGAATTCAGCACAACGTAAAGTAAATGAAAATGACAGTAAAATTGACATGCCAATTGAAACTCGAAGTAATCACACCAAATCTTGAATTAAAAAAGTCCAAAAAGTTGTGTCTGATGCTATTCCCCATAAGTTTATCAGGGGACATTTTTGGCCAACGTTTCCACTTCTCTGTCTTTTCAGGAGGGCGAATATTTCTACCTTCACGTGCGAGTTCGACTTGGTGCGAGCACCGAAAGGCACTCAGCGGAGTTTGCTAGGTCACACTCTGAGGACCTGTGAATTCCTGTGACCAAAGTAGCTCACTAGCGCAGTACTTCGCAGCTTCACAGGAGTTAAGCCAGGTCTCACTTCGGTGTTCTTAGACTGGAACTAACAAAAGGAACAAGCGTGCAACATGCTCCTCCATGCCGAATAACTCCCTTGCTGAAATGAGCGAGGGAGGCTTTGGAAGGGAATCTGTCAAACGTAGCGTTATGCTCAGCCCCTTGAAAACAACAGAAAGACCGAAACATGCGCCAAACTAAGCGTCCTTCAAACAAATTCGGGGCAGATACTGTGGCATCAAACAAAGCCGAAGATTCAGAACTATAGTATTTAAGAGTGTACGATAAAAAAAAGGTGGAGCAGTCTGGCGATAGGGAGATGGAGGGGAGGGGCATTTGGCACTCTCGCTGCTTCCAATCGTCGGGTTCATTGCTTTACAAGAGGTTGACAACAGATAGTTTCCGGATTTTGATTGGCATCACTTCTTGGCTCGATAAGATTCACAAATCCTTGACTGATACCTTGACATGACAACTAGAAAAATAAAAGTTATTCAAATGAAATTTAAGAAAATCACCCACCTTGAGCGTGTACTCAATCGTCGTAAACTGAGGATACAACTCCGGTGGACGGTTATCCTCAGCTATTGCCGCATAATGAGCAGGGAAGGGATTTCTTTGATTGCAAAACGGGCAAACCCAAGTTTTCGCTCGGAAATCCACGAAACTGCAACAGTTCTTATTGGTCATGAGTACGACTGACAAATCTTTTCTACTCCTAGGAAAGCCCTGCCAAAAGAGACTACGCACATCAAGATCTGGAGGACATAGACGATAAACCAGAAATGACATGAAAACTGGAGCGATTGAACACAAGAAGGCGCTGAGGCAAGGATGCAGGAGGTAGTGATATAGATTGAGGAAGCATCAGGGGATGGGTGAAATTGTGTTTTCAGTACGACTGCCAAATGTTCTCAGCACTACTGCTCAGGTCCAAGGCGAGGTCTCTCGAACTCAGACGGCCATCATTCCCGTCAATTCACTACAAACTTATATATCTTCGAGTTTTTCATAGATATTCAAATATATGAGGCGTGTTGTAGTGGCAAGGGCCACACTTACCCGGCGGTCAAATGCCGGCTTGGCTCCCGCCAGGGCCAACCAAGTCTTCGACCCTCCGGGAACATTGGAAACTATTCGTCTGGGAGGATAAGAACGCCTACTTGTACGTCGGCCTGGCACCGCAAGTGATTTGTAGTTAGGCCAACATCGCAGTCACTAAAGCCGTAACGGTTTTGATGGAAGTAGATACGTTCAGCATCTCAAAAAGGATCGGGAGACTTCTCTACTTCACTTCTTTACTACTTCAACTATAAATTCCCTAGTGGACCTCTCAAAAGAGAAATTGAAGGACCACCCACCAACAAACACCGTAAAAATTGAAACGCCCTAAATTTAAACCGCCTCTCAAGCAAAACACAGTTTCTTCAAACGAAACTGGAGCCATTTCTTACAGACTTGAAAATTTTCATAGAGATTGGGCACGCTGCACCGAAAATTTGCTCGTAAACAGCCATCCTTGATTTTACCACGCAGTTCGACGAGCTCGATTGTGAAATACATAAAAAGCCTTCGTTGAAAAGTTTTCCAATTTGATAGAAAAGGCGTATTCCCTTCGGAAATTGAAGTATACAATGCTAAACAGTATAGACGTCAGTAAACATGATAACTAGATAGTAAGCAGAAACAAGTGAAGTGCGTGAAACAGGAACACCAGGAAACATGGATAAAGGAAGTAACACGAGCTAGGGACGGCACAGCGTTTCTTCGCACGCGAAAAAATAGATGGAATTCATAAATTATGACCATTTCGGAGAATGAATATGAAATAAACAAGTTGACAGTATAATATGGGGGGCAGCAATAGGACTCACCAAAGTGGGTTGAGTATTGCTTTACAGTTAGCTTTCTGGCATAGAACTGGATCGTACTCAAGAGCAGGTTGTTGAGGTTGATCAGCTGGTCTCTCCTGAAAAGGGGACCAGCAGTGAAGGTGACTAACCAGAGAAACTGCCATATAAAAAATACAGAAAAATTGAAAGCTGAATATTTGGTAGAAAATGCGCTACATATGTCTGAGCCAATATTCCAAGTTCGTCAAAAATAAAAAAAAAAAGAAGCGGCGCAGTTCGGCTTAGTGTAAGCACAAAATGTTACTTAGGAAGCTTGTACAGACAGACTGCCTTGCGAAGAACCGTGGATTCCTGCCACAAGACTGCCTTGCGAAGAACCGTGGATTCCTGCCACAAAAGTGGCTCACATGCGCCATTTCGCAGCTTCAGCTTCACAAGAGTTTTGAGGTTTGTCCATGTTAACTAACAAAAGGAACCAGCGGTAATGCAAAATGCCCCCTCTCACCCCCTAAGGCCGAACTCAGCAAAAAAAATGCTTCCCATCACCGACTTCTACCTGAGCTCGAGGAATTCTTTTCACCCTTTCTGGCATCGGGAAGCGGGGAAAACCACCTAATATTTGTGTTAAGCTCCTACAAACTGGAAGAAGGTTCCATAAATGGGCCCCTTTGCGCTGACCTGAAAGACCCCCCGTCAGAAAGGAATCGTTGACATAACTTTTAACAATTAAGTGAATGAAACAAAAAATAAACAAATAGTAATGAACAGGTAACCGACAAAACCGAGTGTTCGCTCACCTTAAGAGGCGTGAAGAAGCAGGAAAGCGGAACGACGAGCCGCTGTGAATCCACTCTACTATGTGGCCAAAGGTTCCATGTGAATTGTACACCATCAACAGCTTGTTGAGCTGCTAAGTATTCCTCCCAGGAGGCCATTTTGGACCTAAAAGGTTAGATTATGCAATGTAAAGAACACAAATCATCAACAAAGTCGGGAGATTAGATAGAAAATCAAAGAAGAATTCAACTGGACAGAGGGCGCTAATATCCCTTCCACGAATCAAGGATTAGCCTTTAATGCTTGGGGCACCATTTATAAGATTTCCGCGTTTGAATAATTCAAGATCAACTCACTGAGTAGATCCTCTCTATAGGACTATCCCTTAGCGTCTCTCGTCGTTTGCACTCAAAGCCTAAGCCTTGTTGAGGAAGGGATACAGAGGCACGGCCGATTTGTCCCCACATTAGCTTAGCAAAAAAACAAAAGGAATGAAAGCTATGCTAGTTGAGAAACTTCCAAGTTAAACATGCTAGGTCAGATTCCGGTCTGGAGGGAGAACGACAGTAAGCCGGAGGATAAGGGTATTTGAGGAAGGATAAGGGTAGTTCCGAGGTGAGTAAACCAATTCATTTGTGCCATACTGGGGTTAGGGGTACTCGGTCTGGAGGTCCCTTTCTGTCAGAACAGCGCTAAATGTTAATCTGGAACAGGCGAGAGCCAAATTCGTGAACTAGTAACTGAGTAGTATGCACATGGTGCACGTCGTACACTGGGGATCCCCGGCATGGGGAGGGTCATGTTTAGCCGCTTTGGTTGCTGATATTTCGTTTTTCCTTTTTCATGCGCGCTATATGTACCCCTCTATACGCTGTTGGGTAGTTTTTGAGGAGAAGCTCGGAAAGTTCTCCGAAAAAGTGGTAGAAAGCTGGGAAAATCAAAGAAGTTAGAAGGATAGTGGCAGGAGGTCGACCGTACCACCGGGGAAACAGGGGAAAGTTTGAGAGGGGGTCGTATTTATCAAAATTTTTCATAACGGCAGGACGGAGGGGGCAAAGAAACACACACTTCCCGGTACCCCTAAAAACACTTTTTTTTGCAACGGGGTATAATGAACAATGTGGACAGTCACTACAGCCCCCTTGCGCGAATTATACTCTGCTGATCCACTTTACGCGTATTTCATTTTTTATTGCCCCCTCTATAAATACTATGAAGCAGATTTTCGACCGGAAACCACCTTGGCACAAGTTTTTGAACAGAGGGTACAATGCCGAATAAAGGCTGAATTCCACAGGTAAGGCCACAACAAAAATAAGTATTCTCTGGAAAAGGCGATAAAATAGAAAATCATAGGCAAATTGGCATGTTACTGGCCCACAAATCAATTAAAATCAAAATTTGCGAGAAACCACAGATAAACCTGGCACATTCATTCCTCATAAATTTTTAAAATATACACCCTAAATTAAAAAAGAGAGCTTAGAAAAATAGGAACATAAGCGTGAACCTATTGCTGATCATAAAACTCTATTGCTAGAAGAACAAGCAGAGTGAAGGGAAATTCCAAAAAAAACAAGACCGTGCGACTCACAAAAATTTAATGAAAGAAGAAAAGTGGACCAATATTATGAATACTTGCAACAATGAATACAGGACTCCTCGAGACGAACATAACAAATGGAGAAGACCTCACAGAAACAGTAACCCAAATAATGAAAACGAAATTGTAGAAATGGACCACGTAAGCAAGTTTGCCGTCACCGACGCGCGGCCTCCGCGGCGGCGCGCGCGGCAGGAAAACGCCGCTTGCGACGGACGCCGCGAAATATGTTCTCAGCGATGGCGAAAGGCGAGACCTGCGTTTGTGGACACACTATTTGAACATAATACGACCCGTTCCCTCCAAAATTTCTCTCTGGTAAATCTTTCCATCAGCGTTCTACTCACCATCTTCCTCAGCATCTTTTCCCAACTATCTCCCAGGTTTCCCCCGAAAAATTGCCTTGAAGGGAGGACTACTTGGCAATGAACATCAATATTGCATTTTCAGGTCCATACGTAATAACTCGTATCCAGGAGTTGATTAGGACGGTCGTCAACGGACCGCAGCGCGTGCCAGGAACTATTTGCTTTTCCAGGCTAATTTAGTCATTTTTTCCACCTTGTGAAGATAAGGAGCTGCTAATCTGGAAAAAGTAGCCAAAACAGTGAAAAGTTGGAAAAAATGACTAAATTAGCCTGGAACAAAGCAGAAAAGTCCTGGCACGCGCTTGCGGCGCCCGTGACGCCGCCCTAATCAATTGCCGGATGACGATGGGCAAAGGATACACTTGCCAGAAATTCTTTGGAACAAAAGTGGAGCATTCAGCCTTCAGTGAGAACTTGGTTAATTATATGTCCCTACAAGGGAACAATTGATGTGGGGTAATTCAATGTCTTACTTTTTTCTCCCAATGTTTCTTCAGTAACCAAGTTTCAAGTTCCTAAAAAATTAATGATTTTTGTTTTCTAATTTCCACGAACCACTCGATTTTTATGGTCGACAAGCCAAGAATCGCGCACGAGGACGAGTTTTGCTATTTAGTTTGTGCTGCAGAACTTTCACTAAAACGCGGGTTTGCATGCATTGTGGCGTGAAGTGACGTAGTTGGGAAAAGACAAGACCTTAATTGTCAAACGTACATTTCACGCCAGCGAAGTCAGTCGTCTCGCGTCGCGGTCATTGCGCGGCGTGCGTTGATCGATTGAATGTGGATTCCTGTCAGATGATATTGACAATTAAGTTCTTCTGTAATAGAAGAACTTAATTGTCAATATCATCTGACAGGAATCAGAACGCACGCCGCGCAATGACCGCGACGCGAGACGACTGACTTCGCTGGCGTGAAATGTACGTTTGACAATTAAGTTCTTCTGGTAAAACGTTGGATATTTACTATGGAAGCTGTACTATTTGTTTATAGTGGGTGATTCATGTCTCAAGATGAAGCCTAGTTTATTGTTTATTCATTTCACAAACAGACATATTAGAATTCTTCTTGCGATTAGGGCAGCGCTTTCCACCTACTCTGAGGCCTCAGTTCGCGGAAGAGGACGCCTGGTTATGCTCCAATCCACGAACCCTTACAATGCACCCGTTTACAGGGATATTGAGTGGCCAGTCTTGTTCGCTGTGGATACTGGGGCGTGTCGTGGGGCTGGCTTGTCGCGCCGCCAGCCCGGTCTTCACCAACGGTAGATGCGGCCAAGAGACAGCTAATGGTGCAAAACAGGTTGATGCCGCGTCAAACTCAGCCACCTGATATGCCCAGCATACGCGTCGTTGACCGAGGGAGGTGCACAACAAGACTGCACCTCCCTCGGTCAACGACGCCTCAAAACTACCATTTTGGTAGTTTGTCGAAGGTATCTGCCCTCACCCGCTCCACGGCGAATTCTGAAGAAATTTCCGTACATTGAAGTCGATTGAGAAAGGGGGTCGTATCGAAGGAGAAAATTTGTGGGAGGAGATCGTAATCAGCAGGACTGTTCCCGGACGACAGGACGTGCTCTTCCTGGCCCGTGGCTGGTCGTGCTGCGTGTTGCGTGTCTGCGGACTGCTCGTCGCGTATTGAATAACTGGTGGATACATAAAAAATCAGTCATCTCAACCCTCCATCTTTATTTCACCGCACTTTATGCTGGTGAAGGTGGTCTTCTATGAGTGCTGCTTTGCTCTCCTAGCACAAGTAAAGGATCTACTCCACAGTTCTTCGCCCTGGTCCTTTTGGGGCTGAACCGCACACGAGTGTTGCAAAGGGGGTAACGTGCTTAGCATTCGTACCAGGACCCAACCCACTCAACGTGGCAGTGTTTCGGCATTTCAACCCTTACTGTTTCTGCGTCTCTGGGACAAGGAACCAACCTGCTAAGAAATGATGCTATTCCGCAGCCCGGGAATACTAATCACACACTTATCTCTGCAACCAGAGAGGGGACCTGAATTGATGCTCAGCCCGAGCGGCTTTTTTCATCCTCGGACCACAACAATCGGTGGAAAGGCTGTCCCGGCTGCACTTCAGTCCACTTTCCCCCACATGCCACCTCGTTTGAAGGTGAAATTGACTTGACGACGGGAGGGCGCTGTTCGGCGACGGGGGGGGGGACATTTCGCACTTTCACTGCTTCACTAGTTCCGGTTTACAAGTCTCACTCTGGTGAAACCTGTGAACTCTTGTGAAGCTGGAGCAAGCTCGTCGAGCCACCATGGTAAAACCTGTCAACTCTTGTAAGCTCATGAGATTGCTCTCTAGATGGGGTATGTGGCAAGAGAATCGTAATTCGCCGCGCTGTGGGCGTCGCGTGCGACGTCGCGCCCGCAAATGACGATGGTTCCAGGTAGTAGATGGCGACAACAGGCAATTCAGAACCGAAAATAGTCATGAATGTCTACGATGACGGGGTCTACATGAAGTCCGGTGCTCCAATCGACAGGTTAACACGAGTTAAGAAAACGCCGCGCCCATCGCCGCGCGCGGCGGAGCGGCAAATTACGATTCTCTTGCCCGTCTCCCCTCTAGATGGCTGAACACGTCGATGGGAAGTATACTCGAAATCCCTGAGATCGGGTAGGCGTGGCCGCATGTTTCAACTTAACCTGAAGGTGTCTATGCTTCTGGTGAGATATTTTCATCTTGACACAATTGTTGTCGTGTCTCTGTCCAACACAGAACAAGATGACAGTTGTCCCAGACTGGAATATTCCACGAGTAACCAGTTCCGTGCCATGTTCAAATGCCACGCCTACTCTGGCTCAGGGATAAGGAGTGTACAAACGTGCAAAATGCCCCCCCCCTCGCCGAACTGTGCCTAGTGACTGTACACCCTTCAAACACAGATTCGTGGCTCGCCTTCCGCGTTTCACACATTTACTTCATTCGAGCTTTCTGGGAACAAACCTGAAATTTCAGGCGCTGTAACCTACAAAGAACTGATGAAGCTTAAGCGAAGCACAACCCTGAAAGAATATTAACGATTTATTTCTCTGTTCAGCAATGCATTTGAACGTGGTGGAACCTAAGGAGACCCGCCTAGAAAAATTAAGTGAGAGAAGTTCAGTGCACAACGCTATTATTCTCAATATTGCTAAGGTAGCCTCAGCTTCAGTTTTCAACTGGAAATATCCTTGTTCTTGTAGGAAGTCAACCACCAGACGGTACACACCAGTTCCGGTTAGTGAGGTTGAAACCATTGCAGCACCAGTTCGACATTGCACGCCCTCAAAAGAAAAATGTAAATTTCAAAAGGAAAATGGAAATAAAATGACTAAAAACCTCTTTGAACGTCATACTCGATGAGTCACTCTGGGATTTGGCCTTAGGGACATTTCTTATCCTAGAGATGGGGAGGGCGAGGCTGCGCACGTAATTGCAACTTAGCTGCGGCTACGCTTGTTGTGGGATCAGAAAAAATTATCCGTCGTGGAAATTACAACAGAGAGGGTCGTATTTGGCCTCGAAAGGAGATTCTGGGGAATGTCAATTTTTCTGCCTCATACTGCTAGATATTCCGGCTCACCGTCCCCCCCCCCACCGTCCCTTTAGTAGCGGCAAAATTTTGGGGTAAATTGGTGACAAGGGAGGTAGGTTGTGAAATGGGTCACACTGAAAGAGTGATCGGAAGGGGGTATTTAGAAACTTCCACAACGTAAAAGTGCGCCCTGCGTGGGCGCTGCCTTTCTCGAACAATTGTACTCATGCCCTTGTCCAGTACAAGAATTGTCTCAACTTGAAATATCCCACGAGAAAAGCTTCTATGCCATGTTCAAAAGAAGAACGCAGCCATGCCCACCCCATCTCCGAGGTATGAAGTTTATGGACTATGAAAGTGGCTCTGAAAAGTTTTCTGTACCTGTCTTGTATCTTTTACCAACGGTCGTTCCTGGTGGGCACCCTTGTTGATTGCATGTTTCCGACTGTAACTGGAGGCCTCTGAAGTGATTAAGGGATGAGATTTAAAATAGTATCCGAACTGCGAGCATTCTACAGTTCGCCGATGATAAGGCATTCCAGGAACGGTACGCGACAAGAAATCGTAATATGTTGGGCAGCGGGACGTGGCGAGCGACGCCGCGCTCGCGAAAGACGAGTTGTCCTGTCTGGCTGTTCAAGATTGAGTGGTAAGGAAATGGGAACGATCGGTATCATCTGGAATGTGGTTTCGCCTCGAAGTGAATTGAGTTGCGAATTGAATTGTTTGCTGAAGTCGTTCCCCCAAATCGTGGTTCCCATGTCATGGCGCGCGGCGCACCGAGCGGCGCTGAGCATGAGGATCCAAAGGGAGAGGAAAGGGAGGCAAGTCTCCACCAGATGCGCTACGGGGGGATTGGCGCAGCGCCAGCCCATTTTCTACCATATTTTGTCACTCGCTCGTTTCAACAATTGGTGACGAGCGGATTGGCGTCACGCTGAACCCGGACATCGCCTCCCCCCCTACATGCCACAGCATAGCAGCAAAAAGACTGTAGCGTGACATCTCACCATTCGAAGGGTACCTGGAGAGAACGTGAGCGGTATGTGACTCTTGTTTGACCACGCCCCTTGAAACGGGTTCCACCCATTCCGCCTTTTCATTGTTCGTGCGTCTGTGTACTGTTTCACCTCACTTCTCTGGTCTCTCGCCCGCGCGTCCAGTGTTTCTCCGTTTTTTTTTTGTACGCAGGTGCTAAAAATCAGCAGGGTAATCCTCCTGGGCTGGGCATCCCTCATGGGTTCAAGCCTCCGGGAGTTGTGAAAAGCGAGTCGTTTTTGCAATGCTCGCACTCAGAAAGCCAAAGACCACATTCTCTCCCTCTCCGTAGCGAACTAATGTACTAAGAGCCCAAGACAGCCCATTCCAGCCCAGAGTGGTGGGGCGGATGTGAAAGAGAAATGGGTGGAGACTTTCCCACCAGCACGGCCCTCCTCCTCAGCGTATAAAAGAACAGGGGGCAGCAACGAGGAGATCAAAGTGGTTGTGGATCCCCGCCCATCCGGAATGTGCCGTTGACCGCTATGTAAGGCTAAACAACAAAATCTTTCATCACCGTCGTAGTCTGACTATTTCCAAAACAGCTACATTCGTTATCCCTGCAAACGCAAGAGCCTGCGAAAGGACGAGGTTGGAGGGCGGGGTGGGGTTGGGATGGAGCGCAGCTAAGGCGCCTTTTTCGCTGATGCGAGGGCCCAAGATGGGGCCATGTAAAGAGGCTGCGCTCCGATCTACGCCCCCTTCGCCTCGTACACCACCACCTCTGGCAGGGAGAATGACCGCAAAAATTGAAGAGAACTCAACTGCAGACTCCTTCCACGCATGATCGTCGACGAAAGTGTGTTCCACAAGCTCCACATTTTTCTGTGCATTCACTCCATTTACTCCAATTTGACCATGCACCTGGTTAGAAATAGCCATCTCCTAATTCCAAAACGTACCTTAAGACCTACCACGAGCTTGAACAACCCTTGTTGGTGTATACGATGGAGGTTGAGATCTCGCTGGTGCAATACCGGCAGATCGTTCTGAAGGGTCATTCTCAATAATGATTGTGAGTGAACATACAGGATGAGGATTGTGAGTGATGCAGCACAGGTACTGCCATGTTACTTGTGAAGGGACAGGTGACGTGTCTCTGACGTCACACAATATGTAAATGACGTGTCTTGTGATGTCCTCAGCAAATTTACAAATTAATTGTTCTCGTCATTAACATATTATGGGATACGTCGTCCCCCCCCCCAAAGAGCAAGGAACCTGGGCTACACCTGCACCCACGCATCAATAGGGACATTGGAAGGTTGACAAAATCACTGACCTAGTCGATAACGGAGATTGAACTGTGAGCTCGTAGTGGCCAGTGTTATAACAAGTATGGAATCTCCTTGCGACACGACCTCCCCATACTCGGCACGACAACACTCACGAAGTCCTGTGCGATCGTGTGTCCTCGCAAATTTTATCTTGAAACAGAAGATCCTCAAAAGTGCCTCCCCTAATTTGGGTATGGCAGTACGGTAGCAATAATGTTGTTCCTTCCACATACCTCCACAAATTCTTCGCATGTCGGAGCACATTTGAAGAAGACGTTGGTTAATTCGAATCGGATACGATCACCGGGATTCTGAAGACGAGCAGATATGCAAACGTACTAATTTGAACAAAAGAGCATTGTCTAGTGCTGTGAATTTTATGCAAGATTTCGCTAGACCTAAAGACACGTTCCGTGACGAATGGATGGGCGGAGAAATGGGTGGAGTTCTAAGGAGAATAATAAGCTATGCGCCTTTTGGGCGAATAGAGATATCAGCACAACAGCCTTTCCAATTTTTTTTCTTCGGTATGACCCGCACTTCTCTATTCTATTTACCATCTTCCTGGATCTTCTTAGCTCTTCCCAATTTTTAGAAAAAAATTTCCAGTTCTACTCACGGGGATTTGGCGGCTAGCGACAGGATGGGAGGAAGGGCGGTGTGTACTAAGGTAAAGTGATTAGTTCACACCGGCAACCAGGAGTATATCTAGCGCACGTAAAACGGGGAGAATCGTGAAAAACTTACCATTGTTCTGCGATTTGGAAAAGTTTATTTTCAGGAGAAATACGACCCCCTCCTCCCGCACGACCAAATACAACCTCTGATGGAGTTCTCACAACGATACTAGGCTCTGATTTACAGAAGGCGTGGATACGAGTACCAGGGCGAAAGATACCGAAGATTTTCCTCGATGAGCAGAAGCAGGCTCTCGCCCATCACCTTCATGTACACCAAAATATGAAGAAGGCCTATGGAATTCACGTCACCTCCAAACAGCTGCGAAACTTCTTGTATGGAGTCACCCATGGACAGCTACCTGGAGACCAGCACTCTTGATCTGGAAGACCTCCAACATCGAGCAGCTCCGACAACGTCGCTACGGTCCAGGACATCATCTTCA